ATGAGCAATCCAGGCATGCCTGGAAGGTCAGCAATGACAGTGGGAATGTGCTGTCCCTTACCCAGCATCTGTAACTCTTGCTGAGAAAATGAACATGGGAAGCAGAAACCCCCAAATTGAGATGGCAATCCATACACTGCAAGACAAGCACAACACAGTGAACCATGTCTGAAAACGACACACTGAAGTTAACACGTTGACTGCTCCTGCCAAAATGGAGCACAGTAACAAATAAAAATCAAGGTTTTTGAGAGGTATTTGTTTATGCTTTGTTCTAATATAAAATGTCTCAAGTAACAGGTCTTCCACCAGTTCCTCTGAGAGGCAGTTCTTACAGTTAAGATAAACTTCACTCTCCATTTTATTTCCATAATTTATAGATGATTACAATTAACAGTTGGTGCAAGATCTAGGCAAGGGCTCAATAAAGTTTTTAAAACCCAACCTATGAGCATACTGTGTGGGGAGCATTTATATCCATTCAAATAGAACCAGTGATTCTCAGGACTTCACAGAAGTCTCAGGGCTCTTCTACCTTGAGCTGTCACAGCCTTATTCTATGTGCAATACATATCTACACAGAACGGCCCAAGCATCTTACTGTGCATGTTCTAGGACCCACAGCTACCATGAGACCTCCTTATCATTATTTTTTTAATCTACTTAACACACATGTTGCCTTCTGACAGTAACAAGATTGGGATATGTAATGTCAGGATCAGAAGAGCTAACTGTATTCATACGGTCATAAGTAGAAACCACGTTTTAGCTGGCTGTGCAAAGAAGTCATACAGGTCCTTTTGGTCACGAGCAGTCAGTGGCATGTTTTGCTATACAAGCTCGACAGATAATGTCTGGCTAAATCAGCCTTCCCAAAGAAAGACTACATACTGAGCATTAGAAACTAGCAATAGTTACATTGGGTCTACTCAGACATTTTAAGCACAGATGTGTGAGCTTAATAAATCTATAGGATATTTTACATTGCATATAGTATTCCTCCCCTTTACACAAAAATCCAAAGTGCATTAGAGGTTTCCTGACAGGAGCTTGCATCAGTGGTGTCTGACAGTAATCAACAGCTAGCTGTTTGTGGAACAGCTAAAAGGCTTCCTAATATGTAAAATACACATTTAAAATTGTAGAACTATAAAAAAAAAAAAAACATGCTTAACAATTTTAAATTACTTTAAGCTTTTAAGCACACTTGCTTTTAAGCACACTTACTTTTAACCATACTTTGTGTGTTAGTTACCTGTGCACAAAAAGGTAGTTTTTGCTGTAGCAGTAGGTAGTCACAATGCATTTGACATTTCAATGCTGTCATTAAACTGCCAAAAAACCCAGACTATTTAAAAAACTGTGGTTTATCTGCAATAAAAATCATGTTGACATTTCTGTTCATTACTAAATTATCTGCACAACTCTTGTTAACACAACCAATTGTTTCCACTTAATAACCTGCTCTTAAGATATTCCAAAACTATAAACTTAAGACCAATTAAAGTTTCCTTTGCTTTTCTTTGTGCCTCAGAAGTTTGAAATATTAGTCTAACTCTTTGCTCTCCAGTTTATGAACTGTAAATATCACTAGTATCTGGAAAATGAACTGAACTTTTCCAACTGAAATCAAATAAAAAAATGGGATTTTCAATTTACTTTTTAATGTTTTCCAACTTATTTCCTTGGCACATTTGAAATTTTAAGAATTCTTTTTTTTTCTCCTCTTCATTCAAAAGAGGAATTTATATCCTGACTCAGCCTTCCTCTTGTCTGTGTATTATATTCCTTTAATCTTTTCTGTAATAGACACCTATGTGAACTAAAGTCAACTCTGACAGGAAAAGAGAAAGCTGTTGCCTTGATTTTCATTGCTATTTTGAGCTTAAGTGCATCATTAATGCTTTACATATACTAAATACTTTTTAATATACCCTGTCTCTATATATTTTTGTATTAGCATAACTAAAAGTTTACAGTCATACAAGCATCTATTTTTTATGAATGTCTTTGATATTTGATTAACATGCTGTCTTCCAATTTGACAGAATCAGAGGTGTTCTCGGAAGTTCCTTTAACGATTCACCTTCAGGTTCCAAAATAACCTTGAAGTCAGAGAAAAATGGTCCTGAACTACTATGTGTTTGGGAGATCTGTACAAAGGGACCTATTAGAAGTGGGAAACTAAACTCATTCTTGTGTGGCTATTTAGTCTTACCTGTATTTCCAGAAGGTAAATCTCCACAACAAAACTACCTCCACTGAATATCAGAGGAAAAATACCTTCAAGAACTCCTTGACTCCATATCCTTGCAAAAGGCATGCAATTAGTCAATTTTTAATAGAACTTTCAATTAAGATGCCATCTTGACAGGCATCAGTACTGTAATGATGGGACTATTTAAAGTGGATGAAATCCACTTAGAAATGGATGATACTTACTGAGCCGATCACCATTCCCATGGTGCTCGCTGTTCACTGTCACAAAACACACACTCAGGATTACATTACCAGAAAGAGTAACAAAATGCTTACCATGTTGTGAAACATTTCAAATACATCCAAACTTGGCTAACAAGAACTTAAAAATTATTGTTATTGATTTCATTACCATGGAACAGGGTTGACTCCATCACTTCCAAGTCATTAGTCGTAATATACTTAGGAGTATGATAACTACAATCCTTACCATCAATCCTTCCCTATTCTATTGGTACCTCCTCATCTTACATGTAGAACTGCAGGTGATTTACGTAAAACAAACAAAATAAAAACCCAAAAAAACAAACCAAACAAAAACCCCACCAATACACCACAATATTTGCATCTTTTAAAACTCCATTGTTTGAATTGTGTTTGCTACCAAGAAGTACAGAGCAAGAGCCACAGGTAGCGACACCACTACTGCTTGCAGTAGTACCTGCACAGACAAGTAACAACAGATTACTTGAGCAGTTTTGCCTTTTAGCCTGTCTCTATACATACTCATTGACTTTGTATGCTATTAAGGGTTGTACATTTCTAAAGGTTCAGTAGCAAATACAACCATAAATGGTAGATTGACCAAGAGAAGACCAGCACAAAAACCTCTCTCTCAATCAGTTACATTCAACAGTATTCTTAATAGATGATGTTTATTCCATTCTGTCAGTAAGATAGGAAGTCTCAGTTCATAGGAGGATTCAGAAATACCTGGCAGACTCACGCAACGTGACCTAGAAAACTACTGCCATCCTTCCTGATACACAGAAAACGGACAAATTGCAAAGTGCTGGTAAATAGCACCTTACCAGCCACTTGATTTCCCTAAAGGCAAGGAATTCCAAAGGAAGGGAGCAGAGAGAGAGGGAAAAGCTGGCATAGCCCAAGGGGTTGTATGAGAGACTTGATTAGAGACAATAGGATGAAAGTCAGAATCCACAGGGCTCTAGGAATGCTGGCCAACAGATAAGAACAGCCTCAAGATTGAACTTCAATCACGGAGCCAAAATTAATGTTGGAGCCAAAATTAACGTCGGGGTTATTAGGGTGAACAGTCATCAGTTCCAACTTGCGCACACAGCTGTCACATGAATGAGTTAGGAGCTTCTGAGGCTGCTCTGGTATTGCATACATTATTGAGTTCCTAAACAGCATAAAAATAGAATAAAAAAATAAAATAAAAACCTGCAAATAATCTTAGTGTTTGCAACATACTTACTGTAAACTAATATTTTAAATGGGATTTTATACTGCAGACCATTATTTACTGTAAGTAGATTCGATTTACAAACATATGCTGCAGAATGGGAGACGCAGTGCTTATTAATGACCATAATCTTAATTTATTTTTGTGTTTGTGCCTTATATTAAATATATGTAGATTTTTCATGTTTGGGTTCTTTCTAAATAGGCTTATCTCATCCAAATATTAGCCACAGTAACAGCAGCTTTTTCAAATGGAATGAACAACTAAATTAAATTTTAAAACATTATATTGAAAAAGTCTCGTTATAAATAAGGTCTGTGAAACTTTGGTTGGTTTTAAACTAGTATTAATATAACATTGTACCATTGCATCAAATGCATCAAAAATAACTGGATTTCCTCTGCCAAAATACCGACAAGGAAAAGAATATCTTTATCAATGAGGTTACAGAGAAGACATTAATTTTGAATTATTATTTTTTAATAGAGAAATTTCTTTATTTGACACACCACTTCCCTGTGCATAAAATGTGGAAAAACTGAGACAAATAAGTAAATATAATATTTGAATGACGGATCCATCAAGAAAACCTGCAGAGTAATAACAATGCCTGCAGGAAGAGAGCATTATCTTTTCTGTGAGCAAAAATAGAGTGAGATAACATAAGGTACTTAGAGTACTATGTGTGAAACAAACATCTGTAGGTCAAAAATGGTCAGATACCACACCATCTTTCAGCAAATACAATATTGAATTTATCCAGATTAAATCCTGAAGAGTAAGAAGTTAACCAAATTATGCACACAGCTGATTTTGTTCCAATTCAATTCCCTTCTCTAATAAATTTCATTTTATTACTAATCTCATGGTTTTAAGTTGTTTATGAACTTCATGTTAATCATTTTTCATGAGATGAAAATCTTTAACCTCAAACGTACTACCAGGGATATTCACATTATTCAAGATTCTCCATTCAAAGGGAAACAAGGCTGAGAAAAAAGCACAAGAGATGTGTACCAGTCTTACAGGGGAACAAAACGATTATTAATACAACACTGACTTATGCACATACCGTCTTACTTTTTTGTAAGTACTGCTATCAGAAAGTAAGAAAAAAGTAACACAGACTCTCGCTCCTATTAATAATAGTTCAAGAGCAGTTCCCCTTACAGCTAGTGTGTTAAAGAGTATTTCATAAGAAAAATTATACAGACTTTGTAAATATATTGGGGGAATGACGATTTTTACTATAATTTATCACAAAAATATAACACAAATGACATTTGGGAATACAGACCAGAACAAATTTATATTAGATTTTAAAAAGATGATTTTTATTAAGCACAAACAGCTTTTAATACATTATCAATACAAATAGGAAAACATCTGTTCAATGAATTTGATATATCAAAGATTTCATGGGCAGGTTGCATACTGGCACAATAAAAGTGATTATTTTTTTTTTTAAAGTATTTCAAATTAAAATTATAGGGTCACCACCATCTACACTGCAGGAACTTTACCTACAGTCTAAAATTACTACATCACCTGGGCATAGGGGTAAGCAAAGAACTACAGTTTCATAATACGGAACTCCTAACACTTTCATTAGCACCATCCAAAGCTTGCATCAGCTGTTTAACTAAGCAGCAGCTGACAAGTCAGGTAAAGCTTTACAGCAAATTTCAGTGCAAAGTTTACAGTTCCTTTTCATAAAATACTTGGAATCTATGGTTTCATAGCATGTTAAATAATTATGGCTTGATAGATGTACAGTGTTAAGATGCTGAGACCATTTACTTTGAAAAAAGATGAGACTTATAACGGCTGTGAAATGCATTTTAATATATTATGCCAAATTCTGTAATATGCAAACAACATGCTGGATTACAAACTGAAGTCCTATTATGAATTCATAGACAAGGGTCAGTATTAGCTCTCTGGGGTAGTGGCTTCTGGTTGTCTCAGCTGCTGCTTTTTCAGGCTAACTAGCTTCATCTTCTCTCTAATGTGTTCTGCTGCAGAAGCCATATCACTTGGGCTCCCAAAGTACTGCTCAGACCTAAAAAACAAACAAACAAAACAAAAAACCAAACAAAACCACACAAGGGTATCAGTGAAAAGTAAGACAGTGCATGAATATACACATGAATGGCACTAGAAAACACAAAGCAGGTAAGAAAAATAGGCACTTTTTCCTCTTGAAATTTAAAAGCCACCTTTAAAAGGCTTTGGAGACTCAGTGATGAGACTTGGCAGCAGATCTTGATGAAATTACTACAAGTACTAAATGACCTTTTTATACCCAAAAGATTCTCTCAACAGCAGGGCACTGTTCTATAAGCACAACTAGATACTTCCTGACGCTATTTTTTACCACCGTTCTCTGGCTACCAGCCAAATCAGTCTGGCAGTTTTGAGTACTGACAATCAAGGAAATCTGTCCATACATGAATTCTGAGTCTATACAATTGCTGCATTATTGAAAGACCCTGTGTATGTGAAGTCAGTCACATTCTGTCAAATTCTGTCATCTATCTCTTAAACTGAAAAGAACACATGGCTGTGTGAGTTCATTTCTCCCATTCAAATACAACAAAAGAACATCTTACATGTTAGGGAAACCACTAACCAAGCGGTCAGCAAAAGGAGGATTTGAACAGAATACATGTTTCAGAAGAAGAACAGGTATCAAATCTAATTACAAAGCACAGATGTTGAAGACTTTGGAAATGCTGGTAGGATAAAGGACTTCAGCCAGACTGGGGGGACAGGCATAAGCAGACAGAAAAGTTATTTCACACAGGAGCGGATCAGTTTGACTAGGGAACTCCAAAGATAACAGATCGTACAACTGCACACGGGATCAAAGTATGGGCAGATGTTTTTCCTGATGCAGATTAAAAGCCATAAGCGGGACAGGGAACAGTGACCTGGACTTCCAAGAAAATACTGACAAAAGTCCAAAGTGGTAAAGAGGCTGATGAAGATGCCTCCAAGTTTTTGATGACATTTTGTGTGTTCCTACATTTCTTAAACTATTTCTACTAATGAGTGAACCCTTTGCAAATTGTTTAAATGCCTCAAAAATAGAATGCCTAGGGACAATGAGCAGGGGATCCTGGGATTTAGGACAGCTAAAATCCCACTTTTGAGAAGGGGGACACACAGAACTCTACTGAAATGCCACAGGGGTCAGAAATAATGTTCAGGATTCAGTCAGTCACCCTAAAATACAGGTGTATATATACCTATAGGAGCATTGTGTTTGGCCTCAAACCTCAAAGAGTGGCAAGAGTCTTCTTTCATGGGGAGCTTTCCCAGGTTCTAATGTTTGTTTTTACTTTAATAGTCTATCTGCAGATTACATCAGTTTTAAGAATAAATAACAGTTGCTACTTGTACTGGGTCACTAAAATCTGCTATACAAATGCTATACCAAAATACTTCAAACATAACATTTCTTGGGTTTTGGGTTTTTTTCCCCCTCACAGCTAGAAAATCCTTCATTATTTTCAAATGTGCTACTGAAAGGGCAATAAAAATCACTACTAGTTCAGGTCTGGGTCCATCTTCATGGGTAGCACTCCTTACTGAAGGATACTATACTGCATAGGGAGCACGATATTTTGGAAATAAGATGACAGGAAATTAATTTTCATGACCGGGTTCCTGTAACTGTATTTTTCAGATTGACTTCAGGTAACCCATAATGCAGTTGCATACCATCTCAAAGTTTCAGCTTCTAATTCAAAATATTGATTTCAGATCTCATTCACTATGGTGCAGGATTCTACACACCCAGAGACTAGGTCCAAGGCTTAGTTATACTCAGGTAGAAGAAATTAACTACAAGCTCAGCATCACAATGGACAAGTGTATTTTATTGAACAGAGAATTGAGTTTTATTATGGCTGAGATTCCAAATTCAATTTGCTTTTGTAACTCAAGAGAGCCACCAATTTTAAATTAGTATGAATAGCTCATAAGGGAAGTACTGTTTTATTTGCTGAAGAAATCAAATGTACATTTACCTTCAATGTACTGCCTTAAGACTTCAGATAGAATTGTGAATAAATTAATCAAAATACTATGATTCAAATCTGATATCTTTTTTCAGGGAGAAAAGATTGAGACTTGTCATTCTTCTGTTACTTCTACATACTTTGCTGGTGTAAAGACTGCATAAATCTAATAATTATTGAGTGTGAAAAAGTTACTACTTTGAAAAAGTGGGCACATTGTCTTTGGAAAGTCTGAAGTTGGACCTGCCTGCTTTCTGTGAAAAGATGGGAAAGAATTTTTAATAAGGATTAGGGCGCTGCCTTTTTAATTTCAGCAATAAGCATTCAGAATTCTTCTGCATACAAGACTATTATGAAACTTTACCAAAAGCATATTCAGTAGGCATTAGAAAAGCATTTTGCATACCCATCGGGATAAACTACAGGCACTGTTAGTCTGTCCAACAGCGATTTCCCAACTGCTTCAATTTCATCAAATTGCTCCATTTCATTAAAAGCTTCAGGCTGCTCTGGACATTCTTGCAAAATCTGTTAAAAAAAAAAAAAAAAAGGAAATGGAAGAATAAAGTAGACAAGGGATAGCGAGCATTTCTTTTTTTATTGGGTGCTCTTGGAATTTTTTTAAAAAATTTTAAAAAAAAAAAAAAAAAAGGAAATGCAGAATAAAGTAGACAAGGGATAGCATGTATTTATTTTTTTAAGTGCCATTAACTGGCAGAGTGAATGCTCTTTCAGCATCTTCACTGCCACATTTATGAGATCAACTGAAATATTCATATAATTCAAGAAAGGAAAATAGCGATTAAGCTACATTGAGAAGATAGTTCAGGGCTATCACTGTTCTGTATTAGACTGTTTTACATTACTTCTAAGAGGGAACAAAAAAGAAAAAAATATTCTTGCTAGAAAATATTCCAGCAACAAGTATAAAATGCATAAAAATAGTAACCTGCAGCAAGACAGTCATATAAAATGGAAGAAACCTTTATCCCTCCGTATTCAGTGTTGGGGCGGCCTCACCTTGAACTGTGTGCAGTTCTGGGCCCCACAATTTAACAAGGGTGTGAAGGTCCTTGAATGCATCCAGAGGAGGGCAATAAAGCTGGTGAAAAGGCTGGAAGAAATATCCTATGAGGAGAAGCTAAGGATTTTGGGCTTGTCTAGTTTGGAGAGGAGGAGGCTGAGGGGTGACCTCATTGCTCTCTACAGCTTCCTGAGGAGGGGAAGTGGAGAGGGAGGTGCTGAGCTCTTCTCCCTGGTATCCAGTGATAGGACATGTGGGAATGGTTCAAAGCTACGTCAGGGGAGGTTTAGACTGGACATTAGGAAGCATTTCTTTACCGCGAGGGTGGTCAAACACTGGAACAGGGTTCCTAAAGAGGTGGTCAACGCCCCAAGCCGGCCAGTGTTTAAGAGGCATTTGGACAATGCCCTTAACAACATGCTTTAACTTGGTCAGCCCTGAAGTGGTCAGGCAGTTGGACTAGATGATCGTTGTAGGTCACTTCCAACTGAAATAGTCTACAAATGAATAATGAAGGGCCCCTTACAAGCTGTTTCAAAACTAAAATCCACGTCTGGCACAGAACAGGTGGGATTAAAAAAGTCTGAACACAAGTGTTGCCCGACAGGATTGGGACCCAATACTAGTATTTAGTTCTGTATTTTCTTCCACTTCTCCCTCTGCCACTTCTTACTTTTTTCCAAAATAGCATGGATATTAACAGCATGTTTTCCTCACGGACTCATTAATATGTCACAATAATGCTAGGAGAATTATGTTTTTGAACAAGAGCATTATTTTTTCAGCTATCCATTTACTTTTTTTAAAACTTATGATTGCCTAAAAACATATCAATTAACTACTGCAATAATGAAAGAATGCTTATAATATGGACTGAGAGAACTCTTTTACGAGTTTATGAACGACTGAATTCTAATTTGCTATCAGGCAAAACTTTTTTCAGCCATCTGTGGCAGCATAGATGATTTATTTCTGTTTGTGAACCTCCAGCAACTCTTACAAATGCAAAGTATCTTCTATTAATACAAACAAGAAATGAATAAAAGCAAGGACCATATGAAGCAACTTTGCATCCATGCTCTCCTTCAATGACAGAATGAATTTATTTTCTTTTACCATGTGCAAGGTTGGCTTTTTTTGCAGTTATATACAATTTTATTGTCAATATTAGAGATATATACTCTAAATTGCTTTTCTAAAATGTATCGCTTCACAGAAAGAATGGTTCCTGGATGGAAAGGCCCTGCCTACCATGATCTACATTAATGGATATTGTCTCGAGTTCAGGCATTTGAAAACCCTCAACATTCCCCCTCTTCCGCAAGCTGTTACTGAACAGCAACTATCCCTCATAACATTGTTGTTGATTGCTCATCCTCCTCTGTGGCTTCTAGCATCATCCAACTGGGCACAGTGGTGAGACAGTTGGTTACAGGAGTCTGAAAACCAAACCAAGGCAGAGGTGTGTTTTGAAGAAAGTATGTCCAAAACCTTCCAAGTGCAAAATACAAGATGCAGCAATACAGCACACATGGAAACTAAACTGGTGAGTTTCATTCATTCACACAGGTTGTGAGAAGAATATCACATTCCAAACGCACACAGCTTAAAAGGCAATACTCCTTTTAACTGTCTAAAGATTTTAAATCTTGAAGACCCCATAGCTTTGTATTATACCTTGCACAAAAACACAATTCAAGAAGTGTTCCTTGCCTTTAAGAATTAAAACAAACGAAGAAATGCTTTATGATCAACATCAGAGTTCCCCTCTGAAGAGTTAAAAAACCTTCTTCCCAGCCCCAACCTCAATGCACCTCAACTTGAGGGCTGCTGTTCTTTTTGTTAAGCAGGCCCTATACCAATATAAGTATGCAAGCAATAGGTATGCAAGCAATAATTGCATTAAGTATTGAAATTAACAATTAGAAATATATGCTTAAATTCTTCTTTCTGCTTCTTTTTTAATATTTAGAAAGAAAAAAATACACACTGACAACTTCATTTTTCTTACATTTTGTTTGCTTGAATTCTGATAGGAAATTTTTCATCTTAAAAACACAACACTCACCTTTTCAGCACTTGAATGAAATGCAACAGCTGTTTCCAGCCGGTGCACTCTTTCTTCAGAAGTTATTGTAAACTGTTTCCACACTCTGTTCAGTCTCGGAAGTGTGTCCCCTGAGGACCTTGAAGTGCATCGCAGGGACTGGCACAGGACAACAGTTGCCTGCAGTAACTGTCTCCCATAATCGTAAGTACTCTAAAAGTTGGAGGGGATGGGAAAGAAAGTACACATGAAAACTCTGCATTTAATTTAGGAGCTAATTAGCATCTTAAACCAACAGGAGACAAGTTTATGAAACCTCCTCAGTTTAGGTCCACAAAGTATATTGAACTAATCTGGTCTACTAGAAAATGCTGCTGAAGTATGAATAAAATTGTAATGACCAAACAGCACCTTTGCTCTTTAAAAAAATTTAAAAAATAATCCCATTGTCTAGCATTCACACTGGCCAAAGAACAGAGCTTCCTGAAAATATCAAATAGCTGCTTGGACCTTAAATGGGATACTTGATATCTACTGCCAAGATGACAGTCTCACTGACTTCACTGTCTCCATGTTTGTGGTCATCCAGCATCCAGGTGTGTTGTGGCACATCATTGTAACAGCAAGCTACCCTCCTGTCATCATCAGTTCTAATTCATCAAAAGAGAAAATCAGTTCCAGTGTAACAGGTGCAATCTGAAAATATCACATCTGTTAACTGGCAAGTCTGAACTAGACATTCCTAAAAACAGTATACATCTGAAAAAGCACCTGGAAAAGGCCCAGCTTGTACACTTTCTATTCTTAAGTGAAATTCTTTCACAGGTACCTGGCATCTGTTTGCATATTCAAGATTTGCAAACAGGCATGCAAACATGCCCTATGGCTTCAGTGAATTTCAGCAGACTCTTGTACAGTAGGACTCATTAGTTGGCTGCTACAGTCAACAATTAAAGCTGTCAGTTCTGTTCAACCACTAACTCTGCTAGTGCCAAAACTCCTTGTACAAACAGGACCATCATATACCAACAATCAACTCTATCTGGAAAACCAATAGAAAGACAGGCTCTGTTTCATGAAGTACAGCACAAAATAGACTGAAACCAAGTGGCTCATCCACATTTCAGTATTTTGATTGCAGTCCTTCAAAAGTCATTATAAAGACTGTTTGAAATATATGCCTTTTAAAGAAAGTCAATGTGAACTTTATGTTTTGTAGTTTGCATTACCTATGTGAAGCAGAATAAACTGGAGGTAGTAAACTGCAGCATCGCTATTGCTGACAGAACTTCAAAATCTCATTAGGCTCATCATCAATTCCAGCAATCACGATTTCTTCATTCAAGCACTGAGGCCAGCCATTAAGACTAGTAACAGCTGTTCCATGATTGTCCATATAGGTACCAATTCTATTTAGGAGATCATCTGAAACTGTACAAAACCCATATTGCTAAAAAAGTAATTAATTTCACCTGTGCAACATCAACAAATTTTCGATGTTTCTCTAGTAAAACTTTCGTTTCTTGAGCATCATCTCCCAATCGGATGTGTGTCTTCAGCAGAGCATCCAACAGTTCACTTAACCATTCCACTGCCTTAAAAACAGAAGTTAAAAGAATGAAAACTAGTAAATTAAAAAGAAATTAATCCAGAAGGGTGAATTAACTTCAGTCCTAGCATATACTTCTGATATGGAAAAAAGTTAAGAGATATATCAAACTGGTAGATCATGCATGCAATCACCAAATACACTCTTTTCAGTCATTGCTATATCCTTTACTTTCACTGTACAGATTCACTAAATAAAACTACATTTGAAAGTGACAAAAATAATACTGTACAACTGTCAATCCCCATAAGTTTAGCCAGTGGACTACAAAGATCAGAATGATGAAATTCTGTAGGCATCTCCATACCTGAGCAGCATCCTCTTCACATTTAAATAACTGTACCATCTGAAGCATCTTCAGTCGCCGCACGTCCACCATATCCTCACACCTTAAACAGTAGCACAGACACACTCACCAACACATGCCTAGCAGACACAATACACTGAGTTTGACAGCGGTGTTTTCAGTGAGCAACATTGAGATGCAAGTGTTCATGAAAAGGTGATTAAAGCATTTTTGTGCTGCTAAGCTTGGCAAAAATACGTAATCCCTTGCATGACAATAAGAAACACGCAATAAATAGAACTGAGCAGTATAACCCACTGAAATCACGATCCTCAAGACTCCCAATATGACTATGCTACAGATAGTAATAACAGCAGTAGCTACAAGGCCTTCCAGCTGCGCTGCAGGTTCCTTACCTTGTTACACTGGTAAGATTTGCAGGCCACACAGAGATTTACATGGCTCTGCTGAAGTCTAGGTGAAAGCTGGCTTAAACATGGCATAATTCTGAATTGTACTGTGAACTGGTAGCAAAGTTTTCTTGGTGAATAAAATAAGGACTGCTTAAAAGATGTTAATACATCCTTCCATTTTTTCTTTTTAGCTAACTAAAGATTGTAAATAATTGAACCCTTATATGATGATGTCCTTTGCTATAACTTGTCAGGAAGCATTTCAAAATCTAATTCATATAAAAACTAATTCTAATTCTCTTGTTCTGAATTAAGCACATTTTGCAGTTCTTTCTCTAGTCAGAATAAAAAAAAAAATTACTGAAAGTTCTTTTCTTTCCACAGTAAGAGCTAAGCTAATAAATTTAGCAGAATGACCTTTCCACTTCAATTTCAGAGCCTACTAAGTAGATGGCAAGATTCAGACTCCTGTCCAGTGCAAATGGAATTACTAATGTCAACAACAGTTAGCACTCTAAGTGAATGCAAAAGATGGTATGCACGGATCTGTTTTTTCAAACCAGCTGCAAACATAAGCACTTCCGAAGAACAGTTCATTAGCATGCTGTGTTTTGTTACATGTCCTGTAGTGCTGTGATGCTTACAGAAAGGAAATTTGTTGCTCTAATAATGCAGGAAAACAGTTTATGGGTTCCAAAAGCATAATTAAAACAGAAAAATACCCCTAGAAATAAACATTATGCTACAGGTGTCTAGAAATAAATGAGAAACATTCAATGAAATTGGGGGGGGGGGGGAAATGAAGTGTCACAAAAATTACTATTAAATGCTATTGAGAGATAGTAGTCCTTATCATACTTTTTTGCCTCTTGTCCAGGTTGAAGAACCTTGTTTAATTATCCATCATCTCAAAGCTGTTTCATACCTTTGTCTGAACATTTTAGACTTCTTGATCCTCTAATTGACTTTCCACAATTCTATATCCCTTCTGAGAATCGGGACCAGACTTGCATAACAATTAAAACACAAATGGACTACAAATCTATACAGTGACACAATGACATTTTCCTTTTAGTTTTCTATTCCTTTCCTAATAATCCATAGTGTTCTACTTGCTTCTCACAGTATGACTGAACATTAAAGCAACTTTTGCAAAAGTTTTACAACATTTATCTTTGAGTTAACAGCTGGTTCAGACTCCATTATTATGTATATAAAGTTTCTCCTTCTCCCATGTGCATTTCTATTCTAAGTACTGAATTCCAACTGCTGTTTTATCCCACAGTGACACATGGTCCTCTATAGCTCTTTGCAGTTGCCCCTCTAAACACAACTGCTGCCCAAGTAAATAGGATTCAGAGGACATAAAACAATACCTTCTTTAAGTGTTATCAAAACACATGGTTTGTTACACTAAGCTCCCTAAGAAAACAATTAGTGGGTGGTAGAATTAATTCCTAAAATGAGCAACTTCATGCTCATTAGACCTCGTTGTTCCCTAGAGGCACCTCTTTGTTCAGCCATTGCCCTCAAAGTTCAGGCAGTTTCTATGGAGAGTACTTTATTGTCTCAGGGGTTCCAGCAGTAATAATGAGCAACATCATCTGATTTTTTTCACACTGTTGAGTAGAAAAAAAAAGGCAGTACTATAGCCAATCCAGTACTACTACATCTTTAAGAAAAAATAATCAATGAAAGGCTTGGAGGAAGAGGATGATGGCAAAATGCATCCTTCTTGCAAATTCAACTCTCCCCAGCATTTTTCCCTACTACAACTTAATTCCCCACCCTATCTTCTTCCAAAACTCACAAAAAAACCCACATTTTGAAAACTGAACTCTGTGCCTCCATTTTATACCACATCCCCCTGACACCAGCTCATCTTTATTCCTATCTTCAGGAGGGAAAATGCCACACTCAAAGGGTAGAGGTTGTGCAAAAGAAGAGGATAAACCAGTCTGTACATAATTAATACATAATTTTCAAGCCATCATCACTATTATAGTCTTAGCAAACCTTCCATCTCAAAATGCTAACATATAAATGATGCCTCTTGCATTCATTTCATAACTCCATATAAAAGGAATGTATAATTACTGAGCATTTACAAGTACAGGAAAGCACTCAAATACTCCATCCAGTACCAAAATACAAAGGGTGCTTGGATTTAGGAATATGCTACAAGAGATTAGGCAGTGAAGATTCTGTCCCATTTAAATATACCACAAATATAAATGACAGTTGTACTACATCCCTTGATTGAAGATAAAGCAAAATGGTCTCTTTAAAATATGTATATATATATATATGGCTTATCAGCACACGAAAATCTTAATGACTAGAACTGTTATTACCTTTGTTTTCTAAGCTGCATATCTTCCATCACTCCCTGGATATGGTCCACATTTTCTTTGTTTTCAATGGTCACATCTTTTCCGTAGGCCCAGGATGCCTGATTAGATATCTGATCAAGAAGACTTTGACCTTTCTCACGCAAGCCTTGCAAGCCTAAGTCTATAGAAAAAAAGAAAAAAGAAAAAAGAAAAAAAAGTCAATGGTCACTCATAAATTAGTTTGGTTTCCCACCCCCTCAAAGGAGAGATACGAAATGTAACAGAATCTGAGATGGAAGGCTGGAAAGTGAAAAGGACATTACTATCTGTCTTTCACTACCCTTTCCAGCTTTTCAGTTTGAGTGAGCATTGGTCTACGTTAACGAACAGGTAAGGGTTTGCTATTTTATGACCTAGCAGATAACAAGAAAAGGAATAAAAGCTAAGAGTATTAACTTTTCAGCAGATAAATAGCTAATTAATGTCTTCCATCCACACAGTTGCCCAATACTTAAAATATTTATCACTGCTAAGCAGTTGTAGCCTAAATGTTCTTCCATGGCTAGCACGAGTTACTACTTTATAATACATCTGACATGGCCGATACATTTTTCAATACTGAAATATGTCAGCCCTTAGAATCTGCTGTTATATCTATTATTTGGCAGCTCTACTATCTGGTTTCCTAAAGGAATATCTAGTTTATGCATCAAACTGTGATATTCCAACTGTAACTACTTCTACCATATATGATTTTGCTTCAAAGCTCTTTCTCCTACAACATATTGGACTAGATGATCATTGTAGGTCCCTTCCAAGTGAAACAGTCTATTCTATATGCTTGACAGTGTAACAACCTTAAATGCGCCATTTATTAACATATGCATTCAAAGCTTCTGCAAAATACTCAGTACAAGCATTCTAAAACTGAGAGGATAACAATCTTAATCATCAAGGGGTCAGTTCTGAAGACAGAAAGATCTTCTAAGCACTATATTCCCAAGACACTAAGGATGATTAATGGGGAAAAAAGTTTCTCTACAGATGAAATGCATGACAATGGTATATAACAAATATATATCACATGTAAAACATTTCCAAGAAAACATTTCCAGATCATTTTCCCAGATAGAACTACTATGCAGTAGATAGCATAAGCAAGTCAAAAGCAGTTAGGTGGAGCATTGCTTAGCTAGGAATCAGAAGAGGTAGATATTTTTTCTGCTGTTGTTTTTTAAAGGGGGTGGTGGGAGTACCGTTTTTTTCCTGTAATGCATTCATTAGAATGTGTGTATCTGAAAGGCAGAAATATTTTGCTTACCAACACTTTTCAATTTCTCTTCCAGTAGTTTTAAAGTTTGTTGAATTGATGCTCCATCTGCTGGTGCTACATCTACACACAACATTCCTAGCAAGCCATCCAATTGCTGAGACAACTGAAATGAAAAACAACATAAATATTAATATTTAAAAAGAAGTTTTGAGCTTCAGATGGTTGGGTCTGCAATCTTCTTCTAAATGTTTGGAAAGACGTCATTTTAGAAGTTTCTCTTTGCATCTATAGGAAATGAAAGTCAAGATGAAAGATAAACAACCCATCTGCCTATAAAATACCATTATTATTTTTTTTAGACAAGTATAGGAAAGGAATAAATGCCAATTAAAAAAAAAAAAACCACTACGAAAAGTACACCAAATTGCGGTTCAATTAATGCATATGCCTCTAATTTAAAACAAAAAAAACACAAGAGGGGGAAAAAGCAACCTTTTAACTAGTAATCATTTTATTTCAAATGCTATTGAAATGTAAGACATATTACAAAGCATTACCCTCCTAAAAAAGGGGAAATCTGTCTTCTCAGTGTTTCAATTATAGTAAATGAAGACTTACTGCATTTTCCAAGTGATATTATATTACCCCCCACTCCCCTAATTTTTTCCAATGTATTCAGCGTTTATAATACTAAGGCAATAATATATTGACAGGTGAGCCTGTGAAAAGTTAAAAAGAAAAACTTACATCCTGGGCAACACTGTGGAACTCAAGTGCTGCTTGTAATAGATTCTGCCTGAATTCCAGCTGACTGGCCTGCCGGTAGCACACATCACTCAGCTGTTGCTGCAGTGCTTTCAATTCCACAAGGTCTTCCTCATCCCCTGCATTTAGAAGAGCTGCTATCTGCTGATTAAGCTCAACATAAACAGCAAACCACTCCTACAAACACAAGAAAATTAAGCATTAAAATAATACCAAACATAACTCTATTTCTCTTAAAATGGCATACATCTAACTGCAGACTAATCAATAATCAGATTAAAATAGGAACTTATTACAGGTTACACTATAATTATGAAATCTCACACAGGAGGAAAAAACATTCCTAACTTCAAATCAACTCAAAAAGTGCCTAGTACATTTTAATATATGTGCTGTAGTATAAAAAAAAAATGGTGCAGAAAGATGGGAAGATTACAAGGCAAGGCTACTAGCTCCCAGCACAAACTCCCATTCAAACTATTTTACTGAACCAACAGAGGAATTCGACCATTTTTAAACAAATTTCTAATGCTTACATGTCTACAGTGCTCCACTGAAACAAAAGACTTTTTGCCAACTGGTGAGGTATTACAAAAGAGCTGTTCATAAGACTACCTAAGTATTACTTTCAGTGACATAATTGACCAGCAATAATTTTATTGAAACATTTAGGAAAAAAATACTACTGTTGACAAAGTGGAAGTAATCTCTATCTTCTGAAAAAAACAGTATTCATGTGCAGAAACTTCAATATGATCCTTGTTTCTTATTTATGGAAAGCTTTATACTACTCAATTCAAAATGTGTTATTTGTTTTTCAAATGCTTTGATTACTGACTACATATATAGGAGTTAGTTATGTTGTCATGGTGGTTGTATTTGCAAAAGAAAATAGTTCAAATATTTAACAATTCTGGGAGATTTAAAAACGACTTGATACATCAAGATCACATTCACATCTTGCATGATTGAGATGCCTATAAAGCAAAACATGTTTGCTCAACAGCTTTTATTTTGGCCTACAGTAAAGTGACCTTCAAATGCCCGATGCATTTCTAATGCTATGAAATAGCACCATCTATTGGCCTAAAATACCTCATTTAATTAGTATTCTTGTCACTCTCTTGTTGGGATGTTTGCAATTTTTTAAAATTATGCCTTCAGCTTTTGCATCATTTATTTACAAAGCATGCAAAATAGAGTATAAATACCCATATTCTGAATTTTTTTTTCTTTTTAGCCAAAGCCACCTCTACCATCTGCTCACAGGAAGGAACAGAGTGTGAAAAGATGCAAGAAGGGAAAAAAAAAAACATAATGGAAAAGTTAATTAGCCATCAGCTAAAAACTGAAGAGCAGTAAGTCTCTCATCTACCCCAAAAGGGGCAACTAAGCTGACATATTATGGAAACATCTTCCATTGTCACACACGTACCATAGATATATAGGTTCAATAAACTCACTTTACACATAATAACTCTTGTTATTACCTTTAGACACTGAACATACAAATCAAGCTTATTGAGTGTGATAAGTCAACTATAATATGAGAAATCAAACAAAAAATCTAGATTAATAATTTTTAGTTTTTATTTCTAGGATTAAAGTAAGTAAAATAGTTGCAGTAATTGATTTTCGTCAAACTACCAGTGAAATTAAGAGACTGGCAAACCAGATATAAAAAGTGTATTTCTGATTCTTTCCATACAGGAAAGTTAGGCACAGCTGTACGTGACAGCTCAAAACAATGGAGAAAAGGCCAACATTTGCTCAAAAATAACTAGTATATTGCTCATGAATAAAACAGTCAGAAAATGAAAACCAAAAAAACCCAAACAACTCCCCCCAAACCAAACAATAATAAAATAAAAAAACAAACAAGTAACAAACCAAAACAAAAAAACACCCTAAGAAAATTATTTTTTCACTTCAGGGTAAATTGAAGTAAAAAAGACTACCTTCAAAACAATTCAAACATTTTTGCAAGCGTCTTCAAAATAGAAGTAATATAATCAACAATAAATAGGAGACGATGAAAGAAAGCAAGCGTACAAGCTGTCAATTCAATTATTAGGAGAGAAAAAGAAATAGGAAAATAATGAAAGAGGAAGAGTACACTCAGCTATTATGAGATGTTTAAAAATCAAAGAAAAAGGCAAAGACATTTTTCCCGTGCTGTTGTCAAAAAATGGTTTTAATTTATAAACAAGGATCTAAATTTAAGGTAGGCCAGGGAGTTCCCAATTACTTCTTTTAGTATAAAATTAAAAATAATTTTTCTGACTGTCGTTTCTACAAACTTCTGCCAGCACCCAAGAACCAAGCAGCATTCCATCTTGTCAGTGCTCTGCAGGATTTCAATGATTAAGGACTGTATTTAGCCCCAGCTAAACAACAGTTCTCTGTTATAGATATCCAAGTGAGAACAAAGTATATTCAATCTTGTTTTCTTTTTTCAGTTTGAAGTGCTAATATGACTGAAAGATACTAAAAATTATTTTTGTCAATGAAGTAGGCAGGGGATTATTTTTTTTCTTTTCTTTCCAGTAACGATTTTAACTGTAAGGTGTTTTACACTTCAGAAGGTACTGGTTTTCAGAGTAAAACATTGCTTGAAAAGCTTAAAACAACGAGAAGCCAGAGGAGAGAGGATTCATTTGACCAAACACAGCCACCTGCAACACACACTTCTGTATCTGAGCAAGGAAACCGTACTCAGTAGAGACGTAATCAACAGAACCAGTGTAGTCTAGGGCACAGTGCTTCTCAGACTAAAGGTTTGGGTTGGTTTTGGGTTTTTTTTCCTAAATTAGGTCAGAAAAATTATAACCCAGTGACTATTTTCTTTACCATGACTGTAAAGGGAACTTAGGAAAAGTGGACAGAATTGTCAATGTCTACATCAAGTAAAATCAGAAAACAGGAAAAGCACTGTGAGCAACACTCCCTTTGGGAACACTGAGTATTCATATGCCAATTATTGTTAATCATCTGATGGAAAGACAAAATTCTACTGAACCTTAGGAAATCTTCAAAATTGGAAGGCATCAAGTCAGTACAGTTACAAAACAGTCTCTTCAAGATTTCATTATGATCATAAACTATATCTTAAGTCTTGATCAATGAAAGTGTTAAGCTAGTTTCAGCTACTGGTAAATGTAGTTTAATAAAGACAAAAATATTAACTTATTCACCTGAGAAGTACAGGACTTCTCAGCCATTTTGGCAGGTAGGAAAAAGGAAATTTAATCCTCCTACTCAACAAGAAAATTTAAGAACTGCTGTAACGTAATAAAAACACGAAAAATCATAGATAGAAATCAGTATTTTTCTACACTGGAAAACAAAATAAATAACATACATATAATGACCATGTTAAGTTCTTAAACTGCTCAGGTACTTTCCTCTGTAACCCATAAAATCATGAACTATGCAAAATTCCTAGATTCTCTAACCAAAACACGTTGCTCATAACTGCAAGTACTTAGAATTATTTTGCTACTTGAAAAGGGTATGGGAAGTCTCACACTGTGCTGACTCTCAATCTCTTCATGTTTCTGTTGCAAAGCTTGTGAAGCTCTAATTGAATCACCTATTCCCCACTGGGTTCTTAGCTGTTCCGATCCAGGTCCTTCAAGCCAATTGACTACCTGTCAGTAAGATAAAGATGACAAAAATAAAGCAGCAAATCAATTACACAAAAACTGGTATAAAAAGAATTATGTAACATAAGCAGAAATATTTCAAAGTAAGTATATATTTATGGAAAAAAAAAAATCTTTTCACGATCTGCAGAAGTCTTGCTGTTGAATCCATTCACATCTTCAAAAGCTTTAAGTAGAAACTACTTTTCATTAACCTCAACCTGTCAGCTCCATGAAAGCAGGTGAATTGCCTAAGTGAATTACAATGCACAGCTGTATTCAACCTCACACCTCAGTTTTCTCCTTATTTTGTTGAATATATTAACACACAAGCATAGGACACATACTTATTCCAAAATTAAATTTACACAACAATGTAGTATTTTATATATTTATGTCTTTTCAACTTGCTTTATCCAAATAACAGAAGCCTCTTACAGAGTCTTAATGGCCACATCTCATGGATCTGCCTTTGCAGAAATCTTTGCAGGCTGTTGGCAATACAGTTTTGGACTACGGTATTGGATTTCTTTTCTTATTATTACTATTTTGAAACTACCACATTTGATGTTTAATATTGTTCAAAGCAAAGCAGAGTATCTCAAATGTTGGTTTCCTTATACTTATTTGAATTATCAGATGATATCTATGGCAAAATTTTATGATAAATTTTTAAACACCTAGAAAATAGAGACAGCCCTGATGAAACCTAGTGCAAGAGTCACTTAGTACTAGAGTGCTGAAGTAAGGAAATGCAGGAATACCCCCACATTCTGCACCTTAATGAAAAAGCATATGAACCCAGCTTCGTCTCTTTAATATGACTTCTGTTTAAACAAAGGTGACAGAACAGCTTCACACAGTTTTTCAGGAAATATAACACAATACAAAATGCAATGTCATAACTGTGAAGACAAACGAAAGAGGGACTAATTGGACCATTTTCCTAGTGCTGCTAGGCTACATTGCAACAATAATAAAGAATGACCATCACCATTACAGAAGGTCATTCAATTCACCCCACCTTTTAGTGATCATGTCTGTGTCTTCCCACCCCCTCTATTTGCCCCTGCTGCATAAGAAACACTGTTTCAGAGCATATATTCTTTGCTCCAAAAGCATCCTGGTGCTTCCTTACTTGTATCATTTCTAGGGCAAATTAAGAGTCTACAATTCTAGGTACTTTTTGTTTAAAGAGATACTACCTGTTGTGCTCAGCACCTCCACACAGCCGTCCCTTGTTAAACACGGAATGGACCTAGGGATCTAGAAGTGAAGGCACCCAGATGTCCCCCTGTAACCTCAGTGTGGCCTGGAAAACTCACATATGGAAATGACAGTTCTCATCCAAGTCTGAAACAGTGTGCAAGACTACTGCTTAGCAGTGCCCTCTCTGACCAAGACCACCTCCCCATTATAAGGTTCCAGCAACTACTGCACTGCCTCTGACACTGCTTAGCTTAGCATATGGCCATTCTTGTGTGACAGATACTTGACTCGAGGAGAGAAGAGTCACTGGGGACCTGGAGAAAGAAGCGATGCTATTTTCATAAAATATATTTTTAAATGGTTAATGACTAGACTACTGCAAGGCCTGGCATTAATTTTTGTGAATTAAGATTAGAACAATAGTAACTAAGTAAAATAAAATATAAAATATAAAATATATATTTTATATTTTATATTTTATATTTTATATTTTAAAATATAAAATATAAAAATAATAACAACAACATAAGTAAAATAAAATATTAAAAAAATAGTAAATAAAAACCTCTACCTAAGGAGGGACAAAGCTAGAATTTATCATAACATACAGAGTTGCTCATCAGCAGTCTGTTTAGTAGAACTGCTCATCAGAAAACATCTGGAATTCATTGCCATTTTTACACTGCAGAATGAAACATGAAGGAAATGGAAACAAAACTATGGAACAAAAGGAAGAGTGTTGGTTAAAAAGAGAGGGTAGGATATTGAAGGCACAAGGGAAGAGGGGATTATTGATACGAGGGCTTTGAGACAGGAGCAAGAACTAAGTAGTTCACAGTAAGCAGAGGCAGCAAATGGTGAAAATGAAACAGGAACACAAAAGCAAGCCAGGAGTGGTTAGTAATATAAGAAGCTACACAAAGAACGAAATAGGAATGTAATTGTAATGAAAGCTAACAGGAAATCAAAACACTAAAAATAAAATAATAATTAAAAAAAAAAAAAATCAATCAGCAACACAAGGGGAAAGTTTTCTATGTGCACACCCATTCCGACTGAAAATACTGCAAGCATGTTTTACTGCAACTTCTGTTTGTTTTGGCAAAATAAATTCCATGGCACTTTGTCTGTATCAGTTTCCTCCAGTCCATCATTATCTTCTGACTTTTCTCTGTTAAGTCTAATTTTCTCCCATAAACAAAAAGGCAACTAAATACATTTCTAGATTTAGTAAGTTTTTCCCCATACATTTGTATGCCATTTAGAGAGGTTTTAAATGCACTTTATAAAACTGATTAGCTCAGTAAACCAGCAAAACACATTTTTCCTGTGTACTGTGACTCAGTTCACTTACTATGCGGCATCCATAGCGTAGACAGAGCAAACGAAAAAACTATTTCTAATACAAATATTGCAAAATGAGGCTCATGCCCCAGTAAACAAGTCTATTTAAATGCATTAACACTGTCAGTTTGCCAAAGTACATTATACATTTCATTTCAATCATCACATCTTGTTCAGCCACTATAACTTTAACACAAGAAAAAAAAAAATCTCACCTGATTATACCCACAGCCATGGTAATATGTTCCATATAGTACTACTTTCATCTCTTACATATTTTTATTATTTCCACCTCAAAATATCAAAAGATGACATTTGCTTTTTTATAGTTTTATAATATCCTGAATGACTATATAAGGGAAAATTATTTCCTCAGTAGCTTTGTATTTTCACTGCTAGAAATAACAAGATTGATTAGCTTTTATCTTTACCCATACCTGTAATGCTGTGAAGTGCATTTGATTTGCACTCCTCATGCATTAGAAATGTCAATGTTGAAAGGTTAAAAGCAATATGCATTTTATGAATATTCAAAGTATACAGAAGCTTAAAACATATAAGCCTAATTTCAAGTAATAAACACAAGAGGAATAAATTAATTCAATTTCCTTGATTTTTCTCTACTGAGACTCTGCTGAGAAAATGTTGAAAGTGCTAATTACATGCCTGTTTCCAAAGGACCAAACCAATTCATTATGACCTTTAACACATGATTGATTAGGAAGATTTCTACTCATTCTGGTCAGGGTAGTCTTGAAATACAGAGTTTAATCACTTTACCAAGCATTAGACAAATAAAGGAATAAATAATGGCTTATCTTCAGTAATAGGAACTTAACATGGGCAGGGGAAGGTTTCCAACTCTAAAGCAAAATTACAGTCAAATGTATCTCGTTTGTGAATGTTCCTCTCTTTGCTAACAGGTCAGGCATTTGACCCTCCGACAACGTAGAGGTACACTGCCACAGTACGCAACAAAGGGACAATGTGAAGGTTCTTCAGCATGATGGCAAGACAGGATGTTTCTAATCACCTCCATGTATCAGAACAGCCTTCAGAAAGTCACTGTGGTAGACACTATGTAAAGCATCAAAACGTGAAACTAGCACGTTGCAGTTTGAGGAGTGAAAGGAAGCATGAAGCTCTCGCCTCTGATTTTAAGTTTTGCAGGAAACACAGTCTTGGACTTGAGCTCAAATCTCTGCCTCACAGTATTCAAGAACAACTCCCAGCTTACCTGCATTACCTTCTGCTGAATCTCCTCTAGTTGTGTGCGCTTGCTACGTTGTCTGCAAACTTCCTGGTAGCGGGTATATTGCTCTCTGAGTGAGTCCAGTAGCTTCATCACCTGTGGCTGAGCAAGTAGTTCATCATCCATTGGAGACCAGGACACCCCTCCATCTGAACCATTGAATCGACGCTGTTGTAACTCAGATAGTAATTCATGACCTTTATGAATACATATAATGATGTGGTTAATTTAGATTCAAAAAACAAGCACAAAAATTATTAGTAGGCATGCCTCCTTTTAGATCATCCAGTGGTATATTTTTTGCAGCAAATGATCTTTCATGCATCGGGCACATTTCGTGATACCATTTCATGCAGATCACTGGCCGCAGATTGTGGTGGTGTATCAGTCATAAAATAGGGTAGAGATCACGTGGTATATTTTAGATATATAAAAGAGATACCGTGACTTTAACATTCACATTGACAATAGTATTGATTAATTTAAAGAAACAACTGCAAAGCACAATCTTGAGTCTGAAACAACTATAAGAATTTGGGTTTACTTCAAAATACTGCGTAGCATCCAAAGTATTTATCTGAAACAATTCACATTCTTAGATTAAATGAACGAGCTAGAAGCACTAGAAAACTGAGCATATAATTTCTCTGTTATCTTCCAGGATTTTTACAACACATACAAAACTTGCAGAGAAAGTGTAGAGCTGAATAGTAAGTATTTTAATCAATCATTTCTTCTCACTTTTCTCACCTTTTTCTTTGTGCTCTTAAGTACTATATCAGGGTACAGACTTTCTAGAGTGCAACAACTTTCGCATATGCAAAAATAGTATGTTTTGACTATTTAATCCTCTGTTTAAACTGCTCGAAGAATGTTATTGTTAAGTGGTGGTAAAGTTTTCAGGATGTAAACCCCATACTACCAGTACACCCAGATCATCAATTTGTTCCCCAAAAGTTCAATGAACAAGTTAGCAAGTAAAATAATGTTTGGTCACTAAAATGTTGGTGTAGAAGTGAAAATCTGCCAATTCCACATCATCAGTTCTGCAGGTCTTAAAATGGTGACATGCCAGTTCACTAAATGAAAAAAAAAAAATTACCACTAGAATAGAAATTGTAATACCGCAAGGAAAATGCGGAAGAATAGACTCTAAATTCAACTGGTATTATCTAGACAATCAAAATGCCAAGGGCTTTGGAGATTGCAGCAAGCAACTTTAAATTACTCAGCATGTATTACTGTGAAATGAACGTGTCTTAAGAATTCAAATACATTTTGCCTTACCATGGAAATAAACATCTTGGATTTCATCTTTTATAATACTACACAGATAGGCACAGACAGCTGCAGGGCAAACAGACTTAAAGAGTTTTACAAGTTGTAGTTATACTGGGATAATTTTGAATTTTTACTGTATGGTTTCAACAGTAAAGAATTAACATTTTCAAGGTAAAAACATTTTTCTAAAGTAGATCCTTATCAAATTCTAAGAACTATACTTTAAATGTGTATTTGGAACTTGTGAAAGCAACAGTACTTGTAACTATGGAAGACAGAAGCCTTTTATCTAAAACCTCAGTTTGTTCATATTTACCCTTAAGAGATAGGAAAGTTTAATTGGGGAGAGGTTAATTTTTTATTCTCAAACTTTGAATAGAGTAAATCTAAAAGACAAAGGTTGCCTCTTAGGAACTCCCATGATTTAATGAGAGTTATTAAACTTCATAGCTAAAAAAAAATTCATTATGCCATAATTAAGAAAACCGAGAATGCATATAAACTAACATTCTTGGGAGCCATCTACTTACACAAAATTGAAGTGTTGTTTTGTCCAAAAAATCTTACCATTAGAGGAGGATACACAATTAGACTAAAATCTAGTGACATTGTCTACAGACACTTCATATTTTAAAAACTTTAAAGACCACAGCAAGGAACTACTGTTTCACCTTTTAACTCAAACAATATTACCTCACATCTAAATAAGCTAACATTTTACACAGGGGGCACGTAAAGCCAGCAGTTCTCTGTAGCAAATATTACATGTGATCCACACATTAGTTTGTAGGTGGCTATAAGATAAGGACTCTGAGCACTCAGACTCTGATCACCACCTTAACACTATGCATTACTTCCTAAAGGCACAAACCTTTAAGCAAATTTCTAGTCCAAATCAACAGTGCTATTATACTTTATTGCCAATAGGAAATTCACCCTAAAAAAACCATTTCAATCAATGAACCCCAAATTCTTTAATGCTCAAGGGAGAGTCTAAGCAGCAAAGAGTCAGAAGCCTGTATGCTTCACTTTTACAGATGGTCAGCTCAGAACTAGGCTGATGCAAATTATCAGAACTGCGTAGGAAAATGTTATCTGTATTGTAACCATTTGGTGGCCACTGAGACAAATTCATTCTATAAGGCCAAATATTGACATAATTTTTAAACAATGTATTCTCAAAATTAAACATATTAATTATGGTAATACTGTAAAGATGTTATCAGGATTATTAAAACTATTTTTAAAAAGACGCATTTGGAGTTCCTCCATTTATTTGTTAACATCACTTTTTTTTAAAACCCAACAAAGATGACATTAATTGATAAGCTTGTTACATTGTGATGATGGTTAAGATAATTATTGTGCCCTCTGTGCTTTCACTTGGGGCTTAAAATGAATAATGTTACTTTATTGACCAACATTATCTTTTTCCAACTTACTATACCTGTCTGCAATACCGTCTCAGGATCAACTGATGGAAGGAAATTCAAATCTATTGATCTGGAATAAAGTAGCAAACACATGATTAATAATAATAAGCTTAATAATAATAACTTGAAGTAACAGACACATTACTAATAATTTGTATTACAGTAGCACTAAAAACTTCAACTAACGCCAGAGCTACCTGATGCTGTTGTTTCTGAGACTGTATGTTTCTTTCCTCACTCAGTAAAGTCCTCACTTTTTCAACTCATTGTATCAAAACAGAAGTGCAGCTGCATGTAGTCAATAGCCAAATGAGCATCCATCTACACACACACACTGATGAATTTTGTAGTCTACATTATAAACTTTTAGAATTTCTTTACATATTTCAAAATATTTAAGGCATATCATATTTTCAGTATTGCTTGGCTTTCCAATGGAATTTTATAATCCAAAAGCATTGATTTAAAAAAAGCAAACCACACACCTCTCTTTTTCTTGCTGAGTTCCTTTATCACTTCCATTGTTAATCAGAGCAAGTTCATCCAGTAAGGATGTTGATTCTTTTGTGAACTTTTCAAATACCTAAATAAGAAGCAGGTTTTAATTTAAGAAATGAAAATTATATAAGTGGCAGTATTGAAGGCATCAATGCAAATTTATCCACTAGTTCTGTTAGTATACTTCAATCTTTACACTGTGTAATTATTTCCCAACATTCGGATGGTAGGGTAGAAAGAGCAGAAAATATAAAGTTTTGTTCAGGTAACACTAAGATTCCTTAGGAGATAATAAATGTTACGCTGAATATAATGGACTGAATTCTGAAATACTGAAAAATTTTGAGATTTCTGCCAAACCTGTAAGTTCTTATGGACATATTTATTCTACATCTTCATTTAAGCCTTTAGGTAAATCTTAAGAATAATGCTAGAGAATCAAGGCACATTACACAAGCATTGTGACAGCTCATTTGAATGGATTAAAATAATCAACTTTGTGAAAATTCCAGCTTTTAATAGTTACTAATATGGGCTATACTGTAATGAATAACTAAGATAAAAGAAAGATGTAGTATATAGAAAGAAATACCCTCATCGTTTTCTTTGAATATAGGGGCTTCTGATCTCAGATAACAAGGCCTGTATAGTCAGACACTGGGTACTGTTCAGATGATTCCTCTGTACCTGACTTCTGAGAGTTTGGGTTTGTTTGTTTGTCTGTTTGTCTTTTTTGACAGAACTGAGCATGATCAGGTGCCATAAGTGACATGTGCAATAACTTTCAGGTCTTTTTGGTGTTAATAAGCTATTAATCAATAGCCTGCAGATGAACCTTCCTTAGCTTATCTAGGACTACTTAAATTCCAGGGAAAACCAAAAAGGACATGAGGTGGACAGGTCTTAAAAACCAATTTATAAGACAGCGGTTTATAAAATACAGGCTAAATTCAGTTGTTACAAAAGGAAAAAAAAAAAACCCATAGAATTAAAATGTATAAACAGTTGTAAACTATTTTTCAGCTAGTACCTTAACCTTTCTGCCCTCTTGTCTAGTTTCAGAATTCAGAGTTGAAATGGAGGAGGTTCTTCATTAATATACAAAACAAGCGAAACGAGGCAAGAGAGGAAAGACAGGAGAGACATTTTCAGTTGTAGTCTGAACCAAATATAAAGCAAAAGTCCCAGCTAGAGTGGAAGTACTGTCCTTTTCAATTTTATGAATACAGGAATAAGTGAGTAAAAGCCAGATTTGTATATACCAGACAAAAATGAAGGACAATGAAAATACCTGATTCCCCTTCCCTCCCCTGTGTCCAGGCACTCGCAGTTTCAGGCAGAGAAGAAACAAGCTGCCTTGCCTAATCTACGCACACATAAAGGCCATGCAAAGACCGGTAGAAAAAAGCTGCACAGCAGACAATGCTCTCTCTGCCCTTCGGTCTGAACACGCAATTTGCCAAGATGCAGCAAAAAAGAAACATGGTACATATGGTGTAAGCCCTCAGATTTTTTGAGGGGGAAATACTGCTGTGAGATTGGCTGCAGGGTATGTTTGAAGACTATGGGCAGTTGTGGCTGGGACACACTGTGGAGTATTCCTTGTCCAGGATCCCACCTAGAGATCCTAGAAGGAGATGAGCATTTTAAGAATAGATTGCACAATAAAGGAACACACTGTTTCATTGAAGATTAAATATTGTTTTGAAAATTCAATTTAAGCAACTGAAAAACAACTATCAATGAAGGACAGATTAAAACATTCTGAAGTGCTATGTGCACCAACAGTTGCTTAAACAATTTGTGTCTATTAATGATTTAGGGGTGTATTTGCTCGTACATGTTTACTGCATCTCTGTATCTACTGGGGAAACTGCACTGACAGAGGTTTTAGTGTAGGACAGGTTAAAACCTGGCTCTCAGTCCACAGGCACCAAGGCCTAAGAGAAAACCTCAGAGGATCTGCAGAGTCCAAGTATTTCCTCCTTGTTTCGGATTCCTCCCATCAGCAGCCAAACAATTTCCCTTTGTAGTGACTATAGCATACACTCAGGCTCTTCTACAGTGAGGGTCTACAAGAGAACTTTGTTAAGGAACTTGTTGGTTCAACAAATTGATTACATTAGCTTTATCATCCCTTGAGCAAATCCAGTGTTAGTTATCATGATAAGACTATTCATGCATTTGAACTGCACTATTACACATGTGACAATCTCTACACACTTAGCAGTTCCTACACAAATAAAAATTCATTGCTCAAGAATGAGACATTTGAAAACAAACCAGAGAACTAACCAGCCTCTTATTCAACCAATCCATGTGATCATAGGTGAGAGTTCCTCCAAAATCTTCTGTTAGTTGGCACGGTTCTATATATCGAGTCAGCTTGTTAGCAGATACTAAAATAACCTGCAACAACAGAAGAAATTTTAGGTACTCTTGTAAGTAATGCTTATATTTTTCCTTAAGTACCTGAGAAGTTGTGTTCAGTGTGTCCAGAGGTACTGATGAGATTTTTCAGTGATTCAGAGAAAGTGACCCTTTTACTGCTAAATGGTTAAATGAAGTATGGTTGGTTGCAATTGACATGGGCCTAAAACAGACAGGTAATTTTGATATGCAGTGTATGTCTCATGCCTAATCCTGTAAGAGCATCATCTGTACCACGTTGTCTATTTAAAATAGGAAAAAAAAAAATGTTTCTTGGATATCTGTTTTCTTGGTGGTAAATGATGCTTCTTGATTAAGTCTAGATCCACACAATCTATTTTTAGTGAATACAGCAGCAGGATACCATACTGCAAAGCACTTAGTATTTTTATCACTCTCTTGCAATACTTCCAGTCCCAGAGGTGAGTTTGTGCCATAAAAGTTAAGTGCCTGCATTTACTGCACAAATATGCTCAGCAAGAGTAGGATCAACCATACTCTTTCCATGAATAGTCAAATTGAAATCTTAGTATGCTTAAAAGCCTGAGTCATTCACACAGGAGACAAATCTAGTTCATCAGCTACTTCGGGAAATAAAGGAAAACACAGGTCCACTGCTAGTCAGAAGACTAAATTCCTCACTTTATTTCTGCATTCTAGAGGCTCCTGGCTGAGCCTTATTCATATAAACCTAAACCAAAAGTTGGCAGCACAGGTTGCTTTGATGCATGATACACTAAGCCTGGAATAACTCCTGTGGAAAAAAACTCTCTGTGGAAGCAGACATATTGGCAATATATAGCCAGAAATAAAAAAAAAAAAAACAGAGACAATTTTGAGAACCCATCAGATCATGCATGTATTCTTGCAGGGGACAAGAATAAGTGGAAAGAGCCTTCTACTTCTAGTCCAGCTCCATGTTCCTGGAGACATTGGAAGACAGAAAACCCATCCTAAACTTCTGGATTTTCTCTTTCAGATTACCTGAAGGGTTTTGTCTTCCACTGCTTCAGGCTAGTTCAGACGTATTCGCATAACTAAACCAGTTTGATAGACCAAATCATTGATGAAAATACTATGTTTCTGATACGGGTTTTGAGATCAAAGGCCATTCAAGTCAACAACTATAGGTCATCTTTAAAAACTGAAAGTAGAGGTTGTGCAGTCTCCATCCTTGGAATTTTTTCAAGGCCCAAATGGATAAAGCCCTGAGTAACCTGGTCTAATCTCATAGATAATCCTGCTTTGAGCAGGAAATTGGACTAGACACCTCCTGAGGTCCCTTCCAATTGTAATTACTCTGTGATTTTTCTATTCTTAGAACTAAAGAATCCAGAGTAGTTCCAGCAAAGGGTCTAACATTTAATGTACAGGAACATCTTCCAGCAACATTCAGCAAATATAGGCTATTCTCCTGTATTCTTACTGGTATGTAGCTGCCATAAATGGAATTAGCTTGTACTTTCTTTAAGTAATGCCAGTAACCAGCCCAAATCCCAGAGGAGTCTAAGTCCAAGAAAAATAAAGCCTTTGTTCTTCCTTCTTTAGGCACACATTTACATTTTAGGTCATTTTTACACTCTCTTTTCATCTCTATGAAGGAGAAAATTAAAAAAGAAGAAAATTAATTTACTCAATCAGGACATTTTGGTATGGAAACTAAAGTAAATAGGGCAGCTGGTTCACATCACTGAAATACCTGTTCTAAAAAGAAACCCAAATGGCCTGAAGAAAAGGATGGACTGCATTGAAACCACTTATTTCTCATTTTTTTAACTGAGATCAGTTAAAGTGAGGGAGGGAAAGTGGGCAAGGCATATGCTTTACAAACTTGTACCAGGAAAACATTTTAAAAAACCTTTTTTTCGCCTGCAAAGCAAAATCTGCCTGTAACAAATATGTTATCTATATGAGAAAGTAATCCTCTGACAAAAAAGCCCACCCCACAAGGGAGATTTGGCCAAAGAACATAAATTTCTTTTGCCCCTTATTAGAAAAAATTTGCAGAACTCCCACCTCAATAGCAAGCCTTGTTGTAACTTAGAGACGCTGCTCCAAAACCCATTCATTCTCTAGGTTTCTTTCTTTTAAAAACTGTTCCTTTCTTAAATTGTTTATTGACTGTTCACTGGCGTAACTGCAGAAATCCTGTCTGAAGACTTCAACAAGTAAGCAAACATTTGAATTTTTGACAAGGTGGTGGCAGAAGGGAGGTTCCTGAACAGAATTTAGCTCTTGTTCTAGACCTAGATGAGTAGCAGTGCTAATGTAACACCCTCCATATGCTTTGAATTAGTAACTTTGATATTTCGAGATGTCAAAAGTGCAATTTGCCTCTCTGAAGCTTCTAAAATACTGTTTTAATCAGCTACTACGGATTAATAGTCTGTAAGAACATAGACCAAGAGCCAAAGAAAAAAAAAATGTTGAAAAACAGTAGGTGTGAGGTTGCACAGGGAGAAGATAAGACACTTCCCTTTTAAAGATATGAATTCCACTTTAAGTTCAGCACCTATAGCATGCAAACGTTTGCTGTCACAGATTCCTAAAACTTTTCAAAATCTGATCACAGTAATTGTCTTTAACCTTTTATGAAAATAAATGTCAAATTACCACATCCTGAAAAAAGTTTTCCTTTAGGAATTAGCATTCCAGCTTTGCATTTGAATTTCACACTTCAACATATTTTCCGTTGTGCTTCACAAAGCTCTTAGTCACACGGGCTCTTCAAAATCCTCAATAGTTTAGTACTTTGTTAATGGTATACTTAGAATTATTTGTCATCCTTCCCTCTAAAATAATCATTACCAAACTGCACTAGACCACTAACCACAGAGAACACCTTTAGTTTCTCCTCCCTCTGTGAAGAGAATGATGATGGCTTTCTATTGCTTGACCAGCTCTCAATACTCCTGGATAAGACACAGGTACAAGTGAAGACCATTTACAGTTATAGAAATAGAAATACCCCACTGTTTGCTTGCAACCAGACTGATGTTTTTTTTTTTCTTTTTTTTTCAAAGTCATCTTATTATGTTGACTCCAGAAAAAAAAAAGTCGTCTTAATCCAAAGTAAAAGGCTTTGGACAGCAGACTACAGTTAGATGTTGAAGTGAACAGCTTAAATTCTCTAAGGGAGAAATGAAAAGATCTGGACAGATGGTAAGACAGAAAAAAAGTATGAATTACTGAATCCTTAAATCTTTGCTTCCCTTCCCACTTGATCCACCCGCTTCCGATAACAGTGACAGCTAATAAGGTGATAGTGGTAGTAGGTTTCAAATATGTCCTGTTTGCTACCGACCAGTGTCCCTATCATTATCATCTACATTCAGTTCTTTTTAAAACCTAGAAGAACGGTAGCAGTTCTCATAATTGCTCTACTCTAATCAGCAAACTCACTTTGTACAATATTGGCCTGCAAAAACATTGCAAAAGCCTTTGCAGAAATAACTCAAAACAGTGCTTTCGCAGAAGTGCTGTATTTTTGAATAAAATCAAAACAACGTTTTTAAGAACCACCAAACAAAACTAAAAAAAAAATCCCATGTGCTCTGAAGTCTTGTGCTTCAACTGCAAAATTCCCTTATTTCTCAGGATGAGACTACAGTTATTTTTTCTAGTAACATGATTTTGACCCATGCAACAGTGCCACTAACACTAATCTTTCATAATAAAAGAGCTTTGAATACTGTTTACAGTACAAATACAAAGCTGATCTCTCTCTCTACATCATTTGCTGTTTTTTGCAAGTATTTTCATTGATCATCTGCAAAGAGACAGAGTTAGATGTCAAGATCAGAGGGGAATTCTGGATATTCAATAGGACATGTAAAAGTGCCCCCAAAATGTTAAAAACATCGATCTGAACTTCCTTTCTTGAGGGAAGACATGAAAAAGCTCTTTAGTACAAACGTCACAGAGTCAAACCCAGGAGCTATTGGAAGAGAGGATGGTGTAAAATTTCAGTAACGAGGCGTTTTTTTCTTAAGTGTGTAACATCACAGCAACCACACTACTGAATCTAAAAAGGAGCAGTTCTTTCCAAAAGAACACAACACACACGTCCCTTCAGAATACAAAATTTAAACACGTGAAAGCTAAGCATATAATCTTTTGAGAGAAGTAAATATCTGTATTAATCTTCATAGTTTGGTATCAATGAGTAATATATTCCAGTTCTGGGACAAATTAAGAAAATTATCTAAACAAATTTGATGGTAATATTCTGTATCTATTATCAGAGCAAAACCTATATACTGGGAAATAGGTACAGAAGCACTGTAAGGGAACTAAATCCTATTTTTAATCTCAGGAGTAAAAAGGTCTTAAAAATCAGATTTAGTTTAAAAGAATAATTGGTGTCATCTTTTAGTTAATAATAAATATTTTTTCTGACATTTACACAACACTGTAAACCTAAAAATACACTGAATTTCACAGAACAGAAAAGAGCCAATCCTGACAAAATCATTTCTGGAAATGGAGAAAATAATTCATTACGTACACATATCTATACTGCTTATAATTTGTTAGCCTCGTTTTGGTTTTGGTGTTTTGTTTTGGTTTTGGTTTTTTTTGGGTTTTTTGTGTGTTTGTTTGGGTTGGGGGTTTTTTGTTGCTGTTTTTTGTTTGGTTGGCTTTTTTTTTTTTAACACTTCAAGCAACCTAATATCCAACAACCAAAAAGTTTGACCAAGTTCACAATTCTTTGTAAAGAATTCATACCAGGTATGCCCAACTACTGAGAAGTTTATATGGGCTGAAAGTGGATTACCAACACATGCCACAGTTTCTCACTTATTTTAAGTAACCCTCATGATCATGCGGGTACCAAGTGATGCTAGTATGAAATTAGATGCATCTTTAGAAAAAGATTCTAAGAATAATAGAATGTATATATTATACACAGTATTAGCTGTTTGATGTTATGCAAAAGTGATAGAAATGCAACTAATGGCAAGAACATTTATGCATAA